GACCTTACATCCTTCACAAAAATGAACTCAAAATGGACCACAGACCTAAATGTAAAATAAAGCTCCTAGCAGATTACATAGAAGAAAACCTAAAATGATGTTGGATATGGTGATGACTTTTGTAGATAAAACACCAAAGGCAAATCAATGAAAGAAATAATTAAGAAAAAAGCCAAGCATGGTGGTGCATGCCTGTGATTCCAGGATGCAAGAGGCTGAGGCAGAAGGATCCCTGCAAATTCAAGGCCAGCCTGGGTACATAGTGAGTTCAAATCCTAAACTACATAGCAAGACCCCACCTCAAAAAACAAAAATTGGTATTTTGGACTTAATTAAAGTTCAAAAAAACTTTTCTGTGAAAGATACTGAGAAGAGAATGAGAAGACAGGCTGAAAACTGGGAGAAAATATTTGCAAAAGATATATCTGATAAAGACTGTTATCCAGAATATACAAAGAACTCTTAAAATGCAGCAATAAGATGTACAACCAATTTAAAAATAGGCAAAAGGGCAGGGGATTTAGCTCAGTGTTTCCACCACCTGCCCCGCAAGCACAAGGACCCAAGTTTGATCCCTGGTACCAAAAAAAAAAATTAAAAATAGGCAAAAGACCTGAGCAGACACCTCATCAAAGGATATACACAGATGGCAAATAAGTGTGTGCGAAAGCATTCAACACTGTGTGTCATTAGAGAACTGGAAACTAAAGGAATACTAAGAGACCACCATGTACCTTTATAATGGCCAAAATCCAAGACACTGCCAATGCTGAAAGCTGATGAGGAAGCCAACAATAGGAGCCCTCGGTCATTGCTGGTAGAAATGCAAGATGACACTGACACTTTCTTACAAATCTAAGCATTCTTACCATATGATCTAGGACTTGTGCTCCTTGGTAGTTACTCAACTGAATTAAAAATTCATATCCTTACAAAACCTATGGTTGTAGTCCTAATTGCCAAAACGTGGAAGCAATCGAGATGTCCTTCAGTAGGTGGGTGGATAAACTGTGGTGCATCCAGACAAAGAGGTATGGTTCATTGTTAAAAGGAAATGAGCCAGTAAGTCATGAAAATACGTGGAGGAAACTTAAAAATGTGTAGTACTAAATAAAAGAAACCAGTCTTTTGGCAAATTTATACACTGACTGATTCTAACTGTAAGGCATTCTGGAAAAGGCAAAGCTACAGAGATAATATGATTGAGGGTTATCAGAGGCCATGGGGAAGAGAGGGATGAACAGACAAAACACAGAAATTTTAGGGCAGTGTAACTATTCTGCATGATACCTAAATGGAAATAAGTTGTCATTACACATTTATCAAAACCCCAGAATGCATACCAAGAGTGAAGCCTAATGTAGACTGTGGACTTTGGGTGATAATGATGTGCCAGTGTAACAAGTGTACCCCCTCACTATGACATGTTGGTAGAGGGAGAGACTGCATAAGTAGGGACAAGTGATACATGGAAACCTTGTAGGCAAGACTACAAATGATAAAGCCATGGGAGAAGAACTGATGAATTTGATTAGAAGAAAGATATTTCTGTTAAATGAAGAATTATGAAGATAAGTTACTTGGTGACAGAAACTATTATAAAGGCCAAAAAGATATTTGTAAATAATATGGTATTTGTATCTAAAAAATTCTAAAAATCAGCAAGAGGACAGGAAAATCCACTGGCAGCAATTCTGAGTAGGTAACTACTTAGAGGAAAACTTTATTAAAAGATGCTCAAATTTGCTGCATTACTATTGAATTAAAACAGAAAGTTATTACTTTGAACCATCAGAAAACCATTAGAAAGTCCAGTAATAACAAGTACTGATAAGGATATGGGGAAATTGGAAACATTTGTGCACAGCTAATAGCCATACTGCAGAGTAACCTGGCAGTATTAGTGAAACTAATGTAACTATGCCCATAACCAAACGACCCAGTAATCCTACCACGTGGTTTGTATTGCTGAGGAACTCTGATCACAAGTTTAGCAACATGAGATTCTTCATTGTAGCAATGTTTGTGGAGACAGCCTACCACTGGGAGAAAGGATAAGTAAAATGTGGTCTGTGCGTGTTATGGAACACTAAGTAGAAGTCAGAAACAATAGATTATTTTCACAATAGTAACACTGACATGTGGTTGAGTAAAAGAAATATTAAAACACAATTCTATATGATTTCAAGTAGATGTACATAGATTTCACGTATGTAGGTGTGGGTATGAGAGGAGAAAATGAGACTAGGAAAAAATATAGAAAAACAAGATGTAATAGAAAATGGCCTTCATACTTCCAAAACTGCTATACAGATTCAATGCAATCCCAATTGAACAGTATATTTCACCAAACTAGAGAAAACAATCCAAAAGTTCATCTAGAACCAGAAGAGACCTAGAATAGCAAAAGCAATTCTAGGCAATAGACTCATGGCAGGGGGTATCACAATTCCCAACTTGAAACTGTGCTACAAAACCAGTGTGATAAAAACAGCATGGTACTGGCAAAGAAACAAACCCGAGGGTCAGTGGAATAGATTAGAAGATGCAGAAACAACTCCAGACACACTCAGCCACCTCATCTTTGACAAAGGAGCCAACCATCCTCACT